TCCCCCCCCCCCCCCCTAATTCCTAATTCCCACCAAAAAGTTTTCTCTGTAATTTCTACAATTTATTCCTGAAATTTGAACCTGATGGACAAATAGAAGAACAAGTATTTGTGCTTATTAAAGGTTAATTAACATTATCAGCAAAGTGTTGGCTCCACTCAGAGCAGTCATCTGTCATTCTCATTCTTTTGCTTTGAAAAGCCCAAACCTGACACCGGCTGACAGCCTCTGTTGTTTACCCAACTAGAAGGACACGGGCGATTGTTCAGAGAACATGACACGACATACTGGGCGGCAATATGGCGGATGGCTGGGCCCCCTCATCAGCCGGCTTTCAGCACCTCCGTCAAGACTCAAAACCCAACAGAGTATCAGATTCACAGGCCCATATTTAAGCAATCTGAGGTTCACGTGACGATTTGGGTAAGGGACTGAGGAATTGAGCCAGGGAATTGACACTGACATTTTGCTGGAGGAGAGAGACGGAGGAGTTGAGGAAAGACCACCTGGGTAACCTTTCATAGAGCTGTCCTTTGGTGCCAAAACACCCTGGAATAATATTCTCCCTCTTGCTCCATTTCACAGTCTTGTACTAAGTGCTAAAACGGTGCCAAAACGTTTGTGAATGTATTACGTTTTAGTAGTTTGATTAAAGGGATAGTACACCCACAATTCCGTCATTTACTCACATTCATGTCATTCCAAACCTGTTCGATTTTCTTTCTTCTGAGAAACATAAAAGAAGATATTTTGAAGAATGTTGGTAACTGAACAGTATCGTTCCCATTGACTTCTATTGCATGGGCAAAAAAACAGTGGCAGTCAACAGGAACTGAAACTGTTTGATTGCATGCATTCTTCAAAATATCTTCTTTTGTGTCCAGTGGAAGAAAAAGAAGTGCATGAGGGTGAGTAAATGATTTTCATTTTTGGGAGAAATATCCCTGAGCTGATTCAGATCAGAAACTTCTAAGGATATAATCCTAATGATTCTTCTTCGCAGCACAAAAGAAGATACTTTGAAGAATATCTCAGTCCAAACCACATTGGACCCCACAGAAGAAAGTCATACAGATTTGGAATGGCATGAGGGCGAGTAAATAATTATCCCTTTAATATTCTCTCCATATGTATGTATATATTTGCGAGAATGAGAATTGTTCTGACCTCCGAGAGTAGAAATGCCTCCTTGGCTTGCATGGATGTGTGCAGAATGGAAACAATGAGAGATTGTTAATATAGTGAAGTCTTATAAAGGCTTCATGGTCATTGTGAGTCATTACAGGGACTGCGGGTACCTTTATATACATGAATGGGGAATTCCAGTCCGCTTTGCACGCAACAACAGACCTGGAGGCAGCTGCCTCACTCTCTTTATTTTGATGTCTCTCTCTCTTGATCCTTCGTTCCTTAACCTGTCGTGTGTGTGACATATAACATGTTTGGGAGAAAGTGAGCAGACATCCTGTGTGTGACAGGGATCACGTTCAGCAGTGCTCTACACTCATTTCCCTCCTCCAGCCCACACACAAACTATTCATTCACTCTAATTAAGACTGAACACTGCGTGTGTGTGTTTCTATATCTAAAATGAAAAGATTCAGGTGTTGGTTCCAGTTTATTAAGTTTATTTCTTACCAGAGATCAGGAAAGCAAAAGGCTAAGAAACAATGGTAAACACAAACAATTAATTGGAATTGTGTCAAATTAACGCCTCCTATATGTTTTCTTGTGTATGTCATGAGTCCACTGTCCAGTCAACCTCTGTATTTCGGCACAAATTTATCTGTCACTTGGTAGGAGCTTTCTAAAGCAAGCAGATGTCAACATGGACAGTTTACATAACATGACTTCATCTTTGAAAACCATGAACAAAACTATACAAGGTAAGATACAGGTTCACTTGCAATTGGAACCACAATGTTTCATGATGTGAATGTTATTGATGGCCATTAAATCATCAAAATTCAACCAAATACTCACAATAAAGTTATTTGTGCATTTACAAAATAATCAGTTTTTCTAATTCAGTTCATGTTATGTTAATAGTTATTTATTACTTGTATTATTATACATCTTTGATCTTAAAAGTATTACTGTTGACTTTGCATTATAGACAATTTTGGTACTGTATTGTCCAATGTAAAATTTGGTTGGCAATGTAATAAAGAGACAGTGTAATACTTTTATTCAGCAAGGATGCATTCAATTTGTTCAAAAATGGTAGTAGACATGTATAATGTTAAAGATTTCTATTTCAAATAAATGCTTTTGAACTTTCTATTCATCAAAGAATCCTGAAGAAAAATCTATCACAATTTCCAAAAAAATATAACCGTTTTCAACATTGCAAATAATAAGAAATGTTTCCTGAGCTCCAAATCAGCATTTTATAATGATTTCTGAAGGATCGTGTGACACTGAAGACTGGAATAATAATGCTGAAAATTCAGCTTTGCTAACACAAGATAAATATACAGAGCAGATCCATGGCTCTCTGGAAGCTGGATACTGCTGTCCTCACACAGGCCAGACCCTCAGTCAACTCTCAGATCTCTCTCCTAAGCAACTCCGATCCTTACATCTTTCAGGTGAATGGAATAAGATTTGGGGGAAAAAAAGTACAGCCAGTGTCCACCGGCACCTATTACGTTTTCTCCGAGAGCACTTTAAAAGCCTGTGATTACTTTTGTCGCTCTGCTCTGCTTTTGAAAGCAGAATCTGGCTGTGGTGGTTTGAGCCGCGTGTAACACAGTCCAGCAGGCGGCATGTTGACCTGTGACTCTGACAGGATATGCCATGAGAGGTAACCAGAGCGGTGGATATGCCTCAGGCCACTGAGAGCCTGAGTTCTCACATGCATTATTCAAAGGCCTGCCTCAGGGGACAGCAGCACTAATGGTCTCCATGAGAATGTACCTGATAGCAGGACTGTGGTCAGTTCATTTAGCATCACGGCACCTCTGGCATCCAGCTTCATGACAACATATATGGCTAGGATTGCTGGCTGCATTCAACCGGGAAAAACACTGAGACATGAGAGTTTAAGTTTAAGTAAGGGCTCGCTGTGAGAATCTGGGGTAAAAACAAAGTCATGAGTAAAGAGCAGTATTCTGTATTATTGTGAAGTACATACTTTAAATTCGGATTAAAAAAAATTAAAACATGACTATTTTACAAAAAAATCATGCATTTTTGCTCACTTGAAATTGCACAATAATATTGTTTTTGAAAGCTTTACCAATCTTTGAATCGTTAATACTAGTCATAGACCAATATAATGTTGATGATGACCAAGAAAATATATTGGTGTTTCATATATACAGTATATATATATATATAATAATATCAATATTATTATTTTTTTCCATTTCATTTTTGGATTAAACCCATATAAAATAAACACTTTTTTAAAAATAGTATAGTATTAAATAGTATAAAGTAAAAAGCGTTTGTTTGTTTGTTTGTTTGTTTTTTAGACTGCACAATGCCAAATCTGCAAATATCAAAATGCTTAACATACAGTAAGGTTTTCATTAAATTGAACTCAGAGGTTTTATACTTTTGTATATTTATATTTTTGGCTTTTAACGCCAGTGGCCGTCAGACTAAGCTAGCATTTCAGAAACATTTTCGAGTTTTGAGGAATCAGATAGTATTATTTGTTTGTGTTTCTCGAGTGTGTGTTTGTGTATGTGTGATTTCAGTGTGCGGGCTGGAAAGCGACACTCCAGTGGGGACTCAGTGACTCCTCCGTCTCACTCCAACAGGTGTTGATCTCACGGCAGGCCCTGACAGGAAGTTTCCGCAGCTATCCACCAAACCCATTGGAGTGCACATCAACCTGACAGATGGATGTATGACACCAATGAAAATGGAGCACTATCCTCCAGGCTAACCCGCTCAGGATGAGTGACAGGGTGCAGGCGAGAGAATGGACCGCCTTTGAACCTGAAAAAAATCTTTTTCCTCCCTTTCTCAACTCTTTTCTCTTCTTCAAGGTGCAAATCCCCCCCAAACTCTGGCCGATCCTCTCTTTTCTCTGTGGTGGCGTTTTGTTTCGACTGGCTAAGGGTGTGTGTGTGTGTGTGTGTGTGTGGTGGGCAGTGCAGGGTGTGAGGCGTGTTAAATGCTCTCTTTTCAGAGGCAGAATGTGTCAGTCAGCTCACAGGCCCTGTTTTGTTTGGAGCTGTCAACCCTTCTGGGAGAGGAAAAACCGGGGGAGTGAAGAGGGAGAGAGAGAAATCAGAGGGCAAGCGGAGAGGGACGTGTGGGTGTAGGGAGAGAGACAGCTGGGAGGCCTACAGGAGAGCCTGACCTCACCTCAAGAGCAAAGGGTCACTGGCAGGCCACTCTCAACTATTCCACAAAGCTGAAATGAGTTATTGAATACTCGGCCCATAGTAGAATAACTCATCCAGAGTTCAGCTAGAAGAGTGAATTATATACAAACTATAGTAGCATGAAAGAGTTTTGTAAAAAAGACATGGTATACAGTAAACTTAAAGGGATAGTACACTCAAACTCTAATAATTCTGCATCGGTTCTGTCACCTTCATGTTGTTTCAAACCTGTATCGACAGAATGTTGACACATATATTTTGCATATAGTGAAAGGGAATGATGACCTGGGACTGTCAAACTCAAAAAACAAAAGTCATAAAAGTTGTCCATATAACTTTCAAGTCTCCTGAAGCAATATGATAGCTTTGTATGAGGAAAATAACACATTTTAAGCTGATATTGACAAGCTGTTATGTCATCATTTGAAAAGGTCATTGTACATAATGCTTCTTGTGTGACTTGTAACTAAACATGATGTGCCAGATATGAATATACACCAGTTTTATTGTATTGTAAGTTATTGAATGTCTTTAGAGGACTCCCGATAAGTCCAAATTTTTTTTTTTATATTTACAGTGTTTTTCTGTCAATATGGGGTGCTGTGTGTACATTAATGAGGAAAAAAAATTTACTTAAATGATTTTAGCAAATGGCTGCAATATAACAAAGAGTGAAAAATTGAAGGGGGTCTGAATACTTTCCGTACCCACTGTATATGGCCATTTTTTGTATATCTCTGAAAAAACATTGTGAACATATTTTGGTTTATGAAGGTTGAAGCTAAATATATTTTCAATTTAAAAAATACATTTCATTGAGTTCACTGCTTACAATATATATTTAATATATATTGCCATATGGTTCGGAATATAGCACTCTGGACCATCTGTCACCTGGAGCACTTTTTGTCCTTTTTGTACCTTGACAGCAACTAGTCACAATTCACTTTCAATGCAAGTTTTTGAAAAAAAAAGTTTTTTTGAAACATTTTGTGGAAGAAATAAAATTATAAAATGTTATATTACTCTCATGTACTGTATATATTTCTGAGAAATTGTTA